TGCTGAGGGGAAAGGGAGAGGTTTCCAAGCTGAGCCATGCTGGCTCAGGAATTCTGGGAGTTGAAGTCCACCAGTCATAAAAGAGCCAAGGTTGCCTACCCCTGGTCTAGGAGGCTCACCGCTTAGAACAGGAGGACTTAGGACAGGAGTAGGCAACCTTGGCTCTTTTATGACTGGTGGACTTCAACTCCCAGAATTCCTGAGCCAGCATGGCTCAGCTTGGAAACCTCTCCCTTTCCCCTCAGCATGGCTGGCTCAGGAATTCTGGGAGTTGAAGTCCACGAGTCATAAAAGAGCCAAGGTTGCCTACCCTGCACTAGGGCATATAAAAAGGAAAACATACACCACAGAGAAAGGGGCAAAAAGGATGATCGGTTTATTATTATTATTATTTTCCAAAACATCAAACCAGACCTTCAGTTTTCCTTAGTTTTGTTACGAGGGGCACCAAAGACACGGAAAGAACAACCCTACCTTGATAAAAGATCGGTCATGTTTTCTTCATTCATTCCACCAAAGACTTTAAATTTTTTTAAATTACAGACGTGAGTCTTCTCGTATTTTCCAAATGTGATGCTCTGAACTATGGCCGGTCTTTCAAGTTTCAAGATCAAATACTGGAGGGAGGAAGAGGAGAAAAAGAGGCACGTGGGTCTTGTGGTCTCACCTCTGTCAGGTTATCAATCCCAAAACGTTTTGAAAAGAACATTAAAATGAAACCAGCAAAAACATACTGAATGGGTGACGTAATTCTCCGTGGGACCGTGGTGGCACAGTGGTTAACACTTAATTTCGTTGTGAGTTATACAATGACAATAAAGGTATTCTATTCTATTCCATTCCATTCCATTTCATATTTTCTATTCTATTCTATTCCATATTTTCTTTTCTATTCTATTCTATTTCTATTCTATTCCATTTCATATATTCTATTCTATTCTATTCCATTCTATTCCATTCCATATTTTCTATTCTATCTATTATATTCCATTTCATATTTTCTATTCTATTCTATTCCATTTCATATTTTCTATTCTATTCCATTTCATATTTTCTATTCTATTCTATTCTGCAAGGAGTATAAATCCTTCCATACCCCGCCATCCAGTCACAGCTAAAGAAGCTTCTTGGATGAAAAAGAAAGTTTTCAAAGAAAGAAAAGAAAGTCCAGTTGCCTCCTGAAAAAGCACCTTTGGGACATTATATATAAATGTTTTTAAAATTCAACGAATCACATATGAACTAGATCAAAGTACAGTACCTCGACAGGGCCCAATGTTTGAATATAATCCTATGGCAAACCAAAAAATTGTCCTGTGAAATTTTCTTCCACTTAAAATTCAGCTTATTCAAAAAACTTACTTCACATTGTGAGGCACTTTGTGTGTGTGTGTGTGGTTTTATTGGTATTTATTTTATTGGTTTAACGCTGTGTTTCATTTACTGAGCGTATAATTGTTTAATGTCGGGTTGCAAATTACTGTGGGTTGGCTTGACAATTACCGTGGGGGCAGAAATACAATAATAAATATAATAAAGACTCACGGTACTGTAAAAACCCGTACCACTGTAAAATAAAAGACCCCGTAAAGACTCACAACTAAATTGAAAGATGAAATATTGGGGCTGGCTTCGTATTTTATTGCAGAAGATTCTTAAAATGAATCTAAATTGAAATCAGAGGTGTTCCTCTTAGGACTAAAGATATTCCTCGACTTATAACAATCCATTTTAGTGACCGTTCAAAGTTACGAGGGCACTGAAAAAAGTGACTTATGACTGTTTTTCATACTTATGTTTTCAAGCATCCCACATGATCAAAATTCAGATGTAAAAGGGACTCACACGAGCCCGGGACACTGCAACCGTCATAAATATGAGTCAGTTGCCCAGCGTCCGGATTCCGATCAGGCGACCATGGGGAGTGTGAAAATTTGGAAATGATAAATATTAAACGTTAATTTTAAATATTAATGGAAAATTAAAATTGGGAAAAATTCACTAGGACATGGATTGTCTCAAAGAACGTTGAACGTTAAAATGATTAAGATATATATATAAACTAGAAACTATTGATAAATATAAGGAAGTTATTTTTTACTTGATTGACAGAATAAGAAGGGTATTAATTCAAATATGAGACAGTACACTTTAACGGAAAAAAGGAAATATTTACTGTAATAGTTTGGGATTTCTACTAAAGATGTTTGTATGTAATTGAATTATGGTAACTCAGTCGCCACGTTGCTTTTCAAAGATATAAATGTAATATTGGAAAATCAATAACATTTTCAAAAATTTTGGTCACAAGTCCCTTTTTTTCACTGCCGTTGTAACTTTGAACTGACACTAAACAAATGGGAGTAACTTAAGGCCTCCCTGTAGATATTTTGTCTTCAGCCACCAGTGTTCCTATTTAGTATGCAGCCTAATTATCCCACAACTGTCCCATTTAAAAAAAAACATTAAATCCCTCGCTCTGGAGATTGACAGCTCCAATGCACCTGAAAATGACTGGCTGGGCCAAAGCGCCAGATCTACAGGATGTTTCCCAAGTTCTCTAGGCTGATGGGGGGGGGAATGCTTAACGCTGTTATTCTCAAGACAATGTCAGTGCCTCATTATCACACTTCTAACTATTGCGCAGAGCCCTTTTTCCTGCCAAGAGGAACTATTAAAGGCCATCTGGTAAACGCATGGAGGAAGCGCGGAACACGATTGCTTAGCTGGTTATTTTTAGCTGAAATTTCAAGTTAAGGTTGGCTTTTTTCCTCAATGCTCCACCTCGTGCAAAACAATTTGGATTTTGTGCACGCGGGAGTGTGAGATCCCAGGTAGCGAAAGAAGGGGGAAAGGCAATGGACCTTCCCCTCTAAGGCAGGGGGTCCCCCAATCTGTGGGCCGCAGACCACTACCGCTTGGCCCCTGGGGCGCGTGAAGGGGTGGCCAGTGCACGCATACTCACCCCCACACACTCGCGCTAGCAGTCCCGAGCATCCCGCCGGCGCTAGAGTTTCCCACTGGCACTAGAGCCGTCCCATTTGCAGCACTCACGCCCGTGCAGCCCCGTTTGCGTGTGCGCATGCGCTCGTGTGGGGCCGTTTGCATGTGCACATGCGCTCACGCGCAGCCCATTTGTGCATGCACACACGGGGCTCATTTTTGCATGTGCACACGTGCGGCCCATTTACACGCGCGCACGTAGAGGTGCCTGACTCCCTTTCCAGGCCGCCAAATCAAAAAGGTTGGAGACTTCTGCTCTAAGGCAGAGGTCCCCAACCTTTCTAGGGTGGCGGCCCGGAGGGAAAGGAAGGGGGAGGCATGGGGTGCGTGAGTGTGCGGGACCCAAACGAGGGCAGCATTGGGTGCGGGGCTAGTGCCTGCGCAAAGCTGGGGGTGGCACAAGCGCCCGTGGGACGCTGGGAGCAGGCCTAGCACCTGCATGACATTCAGGGCGCACTGGCCAGCCATTCATGCAGCCCAATGGCCAAGAGGCCGCGGCCCGGTAGTGGGCCACGGCCCACAAGTTGGGGACCCCTGCTCTAAGGAATCCTAGTCACTTAAAGCTGCTATCCAACTAAAGCAACATTTATTATTTCCTGTATTATTCATTTATTACTGCTTCCTGTATGGGCAAACCTCGACCACCATCGAGCCCAAAATTTCTGTTGCTAAGTGAGGCAGCTGTTAAGTGGGTTTTGCCCTCGTTTACGACCTTTCTTGCCGCAGTTGTTAAGGGAATCCCTGCTGTTGTTAAATTAGTAACACGGTTGTCAAAGCAATGATTTAGAAGCTAACCAGCTGATATAATGTATGATGTAATGTTGGGAATGACTCAGCAGGGTCTGTGTCCCTTGAAGAGCCAGCAGGGTCTGTATCTTATACAAGACCCTTGTATAAAATGGAAGGCTCCACAGATGTGTGTTCTCTCTTCTGTTTCCAGCTGTAACTGCTATGTGTTGGAGACTGCTGTCTTAATACGTGTATGTATATTATTCCTGGTGTGTGATATTGTAGATAGTGTAGGATAAACCACCATTTAATATAGACCACTGTGTTTACTCCTGGGTTATCTTGCGCAATAATACTGCGCATGCTCTGACAATGGTTCTTAACTGAATGTGGCTTCCCCATTGACTTCGCTCGTCAGAAGGTCGCAAAAAGGGGATCACGTGACCCCCCCCAGGGAAACTGCGACCATCATGAATACATGCCAGTTGCCAAGCCTCTGAATTTTGATCACGTGATGCTGCAATTGGCATGAGTGTGAAAAATGGTCGTAAGTCACTTTTTTCACGGTGTTGTAACTGTGAACGGTCATTAAACGGTTGTAAGTCAAGGACCACCTGTATTCCAACAAAACAAAACAAAACAAAACAAAACAAAAAAGCAAATAACCAGGATGCAAAAGTTAGTTTTGTGCATAGGACAGGGGGAAAAAAACAGGTAAGAAATGGCCTAAAAATCTGTTCTTTAAAAAGATTTTTTTCTTTTTAGATTATTGTGAGTTACTCCCATAAGACACAAGGTGCATTTGCTTCAGGAAAAAGCAAATATTTGTGTAAAAGGTGCTGGGAGTGTAATTGTATTAGGGAGCTGGGGGGGGGGGCTCCTAACTACTCAATGAAAAACCAGGAAGGATATCAGCTCAGAAAGTTCCATTATTTTCATTGTCTAGAGCAGTGGTTCTCAACCTTTTTAATGCTGCGACCCCAACTGGTCGTAAGTCGAGGACTAAACCGGTCGTAAGTCGAGGACTAGACCGGTCGTAAGTCGAGGACTTTCCCTGCCCGGGAGCGCCATGCATGCGTGGTTCCGCCCCCTGCGCCGGCCGAGGCGTAGCTGGCAAGCGGCAGAGACGGAGCAGGCCGACCACCAGCTGGCCCAGCCCAAGGGAGGTAAGGCACCCGTCGGAAAAGGGGAAAAAAATGGCGGACAAAAAAAATGGACAAAAAAAATGGCGGACAGCCTTGCTTGGCGACCCCCGTGAAATGGTCGATCGACCCCAAATGGGGTCCCAACCCACAGGTTGAGAACCACTGGTCTAGAGCAGTGTTTCTCAACCTTAAAAAATTTAATCTGTGTGGACTTCAACTCCCAGAATTCCACAGTCAGCATGCCAGGTAATTCTGAGAGTTTAGGGTCCACAGAGATTAAAGTTATTAAAATTGAGAAACACTATATTCTATATTCCAATGCCCAAAGAATGAGAAATAAACAAGAAACGGAGGGCAAATATAATTTAATAGGCACAAGGGAGGCATAAGGGAAGTCTTAATTAAAGAAATGGAAATAGCAGGAAGAATGAGGGAGGGGGGATAAAAGACGAGTCCAAGTTCCACCTTAGGCATGAAAGCAGCTGGGTGACTTTGGACCAATCACCAAGAAATGATGACCTCTAGTCCCGCCTTAGGCATAAAAGCCGGCTGGGGGCCTTTGGACCAATTACCTGGAGATGGTGACTTCTAGTCCCGCCTGAGGCATGAAAGCCAACTGGGTGATTTTGGGCCAATCACCAGGAGACTGTGAGTTCTAGTCCCACCTTAGACATGAAGGACAGCTGGGCAACTCTGGGCCAATCACCAGGAGACTGTGAGTTCTTGTCCCACCTGAGGCATGAAAACCAGCTGGGTGACTTTGGGCCACTCACCAGGAGACGGTGAGTTCTAGTCCTGCCTTAGGCATGAAAGTCATATGCATAACTCTGGGCCAATCACCAGGAGATGGTGAGTTCTAGTCCCGCCTTAGACGTGAAAGTCATCTGCATGATTTTGGGCCAATCACCAGGAGACAGTGAGTTCTAGTCCCACCTTAGACATGAAGGACAGCTGGGCAACTCTGGGCCAATCACCAGGAGACCATGAGTTCTAGTCCCAGCTGACGCATGAAAGCCAGCTGGGTGACTTTGGGCCAGTCCCTCTCTCTCAGCCCAATGCACCTCACAGGGTTGTTGTGGAGAAACTAGGGGGAGAATGTTTGCCGCCATTAAAAATTACCTGTGGAGGGTAGTTGCTTTCTGACGACCACCTTGAAGATTGATCATTGGGCTTGTCTACTAAAATATTCCTAGAAACACAGAGAGAAAGAGACAGATGTAAAAAACAAAAAGTTGACAATATGTGATGGTTTTCCAAAGTCCCATCTCAACAAAGCATAGCCGACTGTCGGATGCTTTCTTTAACAGGAATCATTAAACAAGCCAGGTCTGCGTTAGGTCCAAATCAGGATTCAAAGCCTGATAAACAGGCGGTCCTCAACTTACAACCATTCGTTTAGTGACCAACTTTACAACCGCACTCAAGAGACGTATGACCATTTTTCACACTTACGAAGGAACACACGTTTCCGACAAATGCTGCTGATTTTGCGAGGGTTTTCCTTTTTTCTTTTCCAATTACCACCTCTAAAGCTGTTATTTCGCAAGTTGATTCCTGGGCGTTTTTGATCAAATTAGATGTTAGTGCAAATGTTACACACAATCCACAGGTCATTTAGTGGGTTTTCGTAAAGTTATTTGTTAGATCGTTAGAAAAGAAATGTTTTTGCTAGTATTTTTGTGCGACGGATCCCTTCGTGTCTAGGGACAAACCTATGGTCCTCTTCTCAGAAAAAAAATATTATTTAAATGCATGAAATAAAATACATACATATGGACTGTACGACTTTTTCTGCCCACTAAAGAGTTTTCTCCCATAAACTATTTTCACTCAGAAACCGATTCAGTTCATGGTGGGTAAATAAATTTTGGACATGAGATTTTAACGAACGAAGGCAAATATACATGTCCCAGGATAATGTCGCAAGATCCAATCTGGGTCGGTCACTGGGATCCAAAGTTGAGTCTTCTGAGGTTTTGGACTCGTGCTGGATGAGATTTTTAACACTCGTGGCGAGCAAAAAAGGAACCAGATCCCAAAGGAAACCAATTATGCTCAGATGCAGCTATCAAACATTTAGGCAAGAAAAATCAAATGTACAAGTATAATAAAGGTGGTACCCTGCTCAATAGTAGCAACTGTTGAGAGGGACCTCGGAGTCCTAGCGGACAATCATTTAAATGAGCCAGCTGTGTGCTGCAGCTGCCAAAAAGGCCAACACAGTGCTAGGCTGCATTAACAGAGGGATAGAATCAGGATCACGTGAAGAGTTAATACCATTTTACAAGGCCTTGGTAAGGCCACACTTGGAATACTGCATCCAGTTTTGGTCACCATGATGTAAAAAAGATGTTGAGACTCTAGAAAGAGTACAGAGAAGAGCAACAAAGATGATCAGGGGACTGGAGGCTAAAACATACAAGGAACGGTTGCTGGAATTGGGTATGTCTAGTTTAACGAAGAGAAGGACGAGAGGGGACATGATAGCAGTCTTCCAGTATCTCAGGGGCTGCCACAAAGAAGAGGGAGTCAAGCTATTCTCCAAAGCGCCTGAAGGCAGGACAAGAAGCAACGGATGGAAACTAATCAAGGAGAGAAGCAACCTAGAACTAAGGAGAAACTTCCTGACAGTGAGAACAAGTAACCAGTGGAACAACCTGCCTCCAGAAGCAGTGAATGCTCCAACACTGGAAGTTTTTAAGAAGAGACTGGACAGCCATTTGTCTGAAATGGTATAGGGTTTCCTGCCTGAGCAGGGGGTTGGACTAGATTACCTCCAAGGAGAACAGCTTGACTGCCTCTTCTTTGGGGCAGCCCCTGAGATACTGGAACACTGCTATCATGTCCCCCCTCGTCCTTCTCTTCATTAAACTAGACATCCCCAATTCCATCAAACCATTCTTCATACTGTATGTTTTAGCCTCCAGTCCCCTGATCATCTTTGTTGCTGTTCTCTGTACTCTTTCCAGAGTCTCCACATCTTTTTTACATCGTGGTACCTTTTGGGGAGTCTGTTGTAACTCTGAACAGTCCATAAGTGACCGGTCGTAAGTAGAGGACAACTTAATATTAAGTCCCTGGATAGTACAATTGCTAAGAAGCCTCTGAAACTGCAAGAAGCAAATGCAGACTTAATTTTCCTCTTCAAATCCATCTTGCTTTGGGAAAAAGTTACAGCTCCCATCTTCCGATCTTCCTTAAAAGTTTGATCAGGCGCACAATACGATTTACCCAGAGCACATACAAAATTCGAGATTCGAGAACAACTGCAACACACACACACACACCCCGCTCTTTGAACGGGAGTTAGAAATAAGCAAATAAGCTTTTTTTCTCTCTGTTTCAGAAAACACAGCTGAGGAAAAAAAAAAACACCAGCGCTGCACTTTTCTTACCACAAAATGCTTGGAAAGGAGACAAGAAGCTGAATGGGCTAAGGAGAAAGAAACGAATCTCTCGTCCTTTTGAAAACGCTGAATGGGGTGATCAGACATAAATCAATCAGGATAATTCCGCCGTTAGAATCTTCCCTACACAAAGGACCCAATAAATGCAGCTTTCCAACAGAGGGAATCTGAAAGCTGCACATTCAAAATGTTGTGTTTTCACAAAGCATTTATGTCCCAGTGTTTATTTCTTTTTATTTTGCGCCGATGAGGTTTTATGAAAACCAGCGTTAAGACTTAGAAGGATCTGTGCCCTCCAGATGTTGCTGAACAACAATTCCCAGCAGATCCCAGCAGATCCCAGCTAGCCTGGCCAAGGGTCCACAGCCTGAGAAATGTAGCTCGGCAACCTGTGAGGAACCAAGGATAACCCAGGTCAACTGGGACAACTGCATCATCTCGAGCAGGGGTAGGCAGCCTTGGCTCTTTTATGACTGGTGGACTTCAACTCCCAGAATTCCTGAGCCAGCCTGGCTAAGCATGGAAACTTCTCCCTTTCCCCTCAGCACAGCTGGCTCAGGAATTCTGGGAGTTGAAGTCCACCAGTCATAAAAGAGCCAAGGTTGCCTACCCCTGTCCTAAGTCCTCCTGTTCTAAGCAGTGAGCCTCCTAGACCAGGGGTAGGCAACCTTGGCTCTTTTATGACTCCTGGACTTCAACTCCCAGAATTCCTGAGCCAGCATGGCTCAGCTTGGAAACCTCTCCCTTTCCCCTCAGCACGGCTGGCTCAGGAATTCTGGGAGTTGAAGTCCACGAGTCATAAAAGAGCCAAGGTTTCCCCACCCCCGATTCTAGGGTGTTCCTGCCAGCTTAGTTCCCCTTCTATTCCCTCGCCTGGCTGGCTGAGGAATTCTGGGAGTTGAAGTCCACACGTCTTAAAGTTGCCAAGTTTGAAGACCCCTGATCTAGGGGCAGGGGGCAGGCAACCTTGGCTCTTTTATGACTGGTGGACTTCAACTCCCAGAATTCCTCAGCCAGCCATGCTGAGGGGAAAGGGAGAGTTTCCAAGCTGAGCCAGGCTGGCTCAGGAATTCTGGGAGTTGAAGTCCACCAGTCATAAAAGAGCCAAGGTTGCCTACCCCTGTCCTAAGGCCTCCTGTTCTAAGCGGTGAGCCTCCTAGAGCGGGGTAGGCAACCTTGGCTCTTTTATGACTCGTGGACTTCAACTCCCAGAATTCCTGAGCCAGCATGGGGGAACTAGGGACCCCTCATGCCTCGTGGACTTCAACTCCCAGAATTCCTGAGCCAGCATGGGGGAACTAGGGACCCCTCATGCCTCGTGGACTTCAACTCCAAGAATTCCTGAGCCAGCATGGCTCAGCTTGGAAACCTCTCCCTTTCCCCTCAGCATGGCTGGCTCAGGGATTCTGGGAGTTGAAGTCCACCAGTCATAAAAGAGCCAAGGTTGCCTACCCCTGATGTAGCAGAAAGAAGTTTCTAGATAACAAGGGCTCAGGAACGTCCTGAAGATGGCTGGGATATTCTCTTTTCTCTTTCGTGAATTGTTCTGTCTAGTCTGCCTGTGGTTTTTCTCCAGCACAGCCTGCCTGCCTCGGTGTTCTATTGATAAAGGTTAGTAGAACACTATTGATTACCCAGTGCTTTGCTTACATGTTTACTACAAGGGGCAGCACAAAGGGCGGTGAAATGATGGTTTTGGAAAAAGTGCCAGGGAAAAACTCCAAATACAGGTAGTCCTCGACTTACGACGGTTCGAAGTTACAACAGCACTGAAAAAAGTGACCTCTGACCCCTTTTCACACTAATGGCTGTTGCAGAATCCCCGCGGTGGTGTGATCAAAATTCAGACACTTGGCAACTGACTCGTATTTATGACGTTTGCCGTGTCCCGGGATCACGGGATCCCTTTTTGCGACCTTCTGACAAGCCAAGGGGGGGGGGGACCGGATTCACTTAACAACTGTGTTCCTAATGTAACAACTGCAGTGACAATCATTTAATTAGGAGCCAGTCCTATGCTGCAGCTGCCAAAAAAGCCAACACAGCACTACACTGCATTCACAGAGAGATAGAATCGAGATCACGTGAAGTGTTAATACCACTTTACAAGGCCTTGGTAAGGCCACACGTGGAAATCTGCATCCAGTTTTGGTCACCACGATGTAAAAAAGAGGTTGAGACTCTAAAAAGAGTACAGAGAAGAGCAACAAAGATGATCAGGAGACAAGAGGCTAAAACATACAAGGAACGGTTGTTGGAATTGGGTATGTCCAGTTTAATGAAGAGAAGGACGAGGGGGGACAGGATAGCAGCCTTCCAATATCTCAGGGGCTGCCCCAAAGAAGAGGGAGTCAAGCTATTCTCCAAAGCACCTGAAGGCAGGACGAGAAGCAACGGATGGAAACTAACCAAGGAGAGAAGCAACCTGGAACTAAGGATGAAATTTCCTGACGGTTAGAACAATTAACCAGAGGAACAACCTGCCTCCAGAAGCGGTGAATGCTCCAACACTGGAAGTTTTTAAGAAGAGACTGGACAGCCATTTGTCTGAAATGGTATAGGGTTTCCTGCCTGAGCAGGAGGTTGGACTAGAAGATCTCCAGGGTCCTTTCCAACTTTTATTATTATTATTATTATTATTATTATTATTATTATTATTATTATTATTATTATTATTATTATTATTATTATTATTATTATTATTATTATGGATCATCGCACAGTCAGCCAGATTATTGTTGTTGTTGTTGTTGTTGTTGTTATTATTTTGTCTGATTCCCTG